ATTTCTTTCTATTTTTAGTAGAGACGGGGTTTCGCTCTTGCTCAGGCTGGTTTCGAACTCCTGAACTCAAACAATCCGCCCACCTCAGCCTCCCAGAGAGCTAGGATTACAGGCGTGAGCCACCGCACCTGGCCAAATTTGTGTAGTTTTTAAATTGCATTAAAATAAGTACATGAGGACTCTTTTTGGGGTATGATTATTGGTGATTTTTATTTTCCTATACTTTTCTAAATTTTCCTACCCTTCTGTAATACAGTGAAACGTGTTACTTTTATAAATACTTAAAACATTAAAAGTAACCTTTTTGGAAATAATTAAAATCCTTTAGGAAGAAAATATGGCAGAAATTCATTTAGACCTACAAATTGTATATATATTTGGGAGGTGAGGCTACTGTACCCCTTCATAAAGTAGAATGTAAATAAATATCAATATTGCAGTCACTAAACAAACTTCTTTTCCAGGCCAGCTATAATGTAGTCATTAATATGGTTTTCATCCAAGGTGAGAAATAGCTAATTCAAGAATGATCACCAGCAGGTGGAAAATCATTTTAGGAGGAATAGTTCTGAGAATATTTCTTAGGGAGAAATGATGAGCAATGAACAAATGAACGGCTGTTGACAAGAGTGGTTAGAATCACAGAACCTCAGGGCTGGAAAGGGCCTCAAAATCATACAGTTCAATTTTCCCATTCAAAGTCTGAATCTCTTTTATATCTTCCCAAGTCATCCACGCTATGTCTAGGAAGCTCCAACTAGTAAAATGATTTCTTTAAAATGAACTGGAGCTATTCTTGCATAGCTTTCCTTCCTCTACCTCATTTCTATCTTTGGGGCCATATTCAACAAGATGGCTCTAGAGAACAGCCCCTCAGACAGCTCTGTTTAATTAAGTCAAAGCAAACCAACATGCATGTCATCTTGCCTTTTTTAAATTTGAAGTAAGTGGAAATGGAGAAATGTAGAGTATAAACCAGCTACTGCTGAGTCAACGCTTTAAACATATAACCTGTTAGAAAACGCTACAAAGCCATGGTATGGTTAGAAAGCCCCACAAAGCAATATCAGGTAATTGTGCAGGAGCCCAGAGGTTTAAAGAGACCGAGAGAATTGTCTGCTGGTGGGAGATCTGCGGGCACAGGCATGGAGGGTAGAGAGGCTCCCTGGAGTTTCAGCCTCTTCACTGCGAGTCCTCTCCGCTGAAGGTAAGAGAGCTGAAGAGCAGTGGGTTTGGTGCCCTCCCCACAATGCTCCTCCCCAGGCTGTGTGGTCACAGGCTGAGACATATGGGGACCAGTGTTCTCAGGGGCACAAATGTCCCACAGTGTTATTCTGGGGTTTAACTGGCATCTTCCCACTATGGTTTGTACTAGCTCAGTCACTGTGTCACTTGAATACTTGGCTTTACTGTGGAGTTTTATAAAGCATTTTGGCTGTTTGAATATGAGAATGACAGCCCTTTGAAAAACCTGCAGCTTGAGCAAAATTGGTGACTGCTTTGAATAAACATTATTCCTAATTGATTTTGTACCATATCTATTTTCTAGAATATATCAAATTTCTGCTTCTTGAACAACATCTTGGTGCCAAAAAAATATTCATGGGAAGGAAAGTTCCTCTCTGGTGATGATTAGAAGCTGCTGGGACCAACAATGAAGTTGGCTGTTCTTAAGGAAATTTCTGCTTTTCAAAAGCAGAACGGCAGAAATGCTAGAAAGAGAAAGAGCAGGATACTCTAGACTTAGGAAACACTTACGGAACAAAATATCTGAGTGAGTACTGGAAATTGTGGGGTGGAAAACAGGAGTAACTAAAGCAGTAGAAACAGTTGTAAATCCAGTCTTTAGAAATCACCAGATGTTTGACAGCTCATATCCTAAGCATCTGAATTTGAGATGGAGGTTTTCAGGTTTTTTTCCATCAATATTTGGAGGTATTACATAGCAGGGACCTTTGTCTAGTAAATAGCCTACTTTATTTGGCTTTCGCCTGGCCTTTCTATAAAAGTCATTGCTAAATGTTGAACCTCTGGAATAAACCTACTGAGTTTGTAAGTCGGGACATACAGGCTGTTAAGATAATCTTGCACATGCAGATGCTGGTAAAAGTTTCAGGAACACGGTGTAAGCATATCCTCTTTCTTATGCTTTGTCACAGTTACCAATTTTGGTAAAACTCTAATATGAGGAGAATGAAAAATTTTAATTCATGTCATCTGACACCACTGACAGTTTTCCTGCATATTGACTATCCCGCTTGAATAGCTATTTTGTGAACAGTTTCTCCTCACCTTCTTCTTCCCTCATCTCCACTCCCTGGATAGCTGAGAAGCAAACACTCTGGCATGCAAAAGGCATTCTTACCTCCGCTTGCTGGGGATGACCCCCATCTCCTCACTGTCGCCCTCCAGAGTGACTCTCCTGGCTTGCCACCACTCATCGTCAGAGGCGTTGATAACATGGAGAATATCTCCATATTTAAAACTAAGTCCTTGACTTGGCAGCCCACTGTCCTTGCTCTTGTCATAGTCAAACATGGCTCTGGAAGAAATGACCAAAGAAGACATTGTTAGGAATCTCCAGTAACAAAGATTCAGGATTCATGGTTTCAAATGTTCACTCTTCCTCGAAGAATCTGTCATCATTTGATACCAACTCCCAGGATGACTCCCTGGGTCACAGTCCGAATTTCCACAGTTCTGGCCACAAACTTAGGTTAGTTCTTGCTTCTCCTTCGTGGTTACAGGAGCAGCCTGTAGAGCCCTAAAACTGAGGTCTGCTTCTTTTCTTGGAGACCATCAGATGTTATAAGGTGATAATAAGAGATGAGAAAGGCAGTTTACTACCTAATTGAGATTTTTTTCTCCCACTACAGTCAAATTTTTAAAATTACTAAAAAGCAAAGGAAAATAATGAAGAGCTTCATGGCTATCTTTCTGAATGAAGCATTTTGTGTTATAAAAAAATCCTCTCAGATGTTATCAGCCTGCAGAACTCTTTCTTTTATAATGAAAAAAAAATGGTAACAACTTAAATGTCCATCCACAGGGAACTGTGATTTTTCCATTCATTTAATATTGGACCATCACTGAAATTGGATGGTTGAAGAGGTTAATGTAATGACCTGAATAAATGCTTAAAATACAATAAATGAAAAAAATCTATGTGTGTGCATAGATAAAATTGTATGAACAATGCCACAAATCTTTTTGCTCCCATATGATGCCGAGCCTACCTCATCAGTGTACTTAACACTCTGAATTATAATTCTTGTTTTTCGTATCATGTTGCCCCTGCTAAAGAGGATTTGCTGAGCATTTGTTATGGCCAATGCACGGTGATATGTATGACTGGAGGCATGAGGGAGTTGGAAGTGGAATCAAAATGATGAACAAGACCTTAGTAACTAGATGTTGTCTTAAGGAGGGAACCACTTGCCACAAGTCCTACATTGTCTGCCTCCTGCTGTATCCCTCACTCTCAAAAATCACTGCCACACACACACAGCATATGATTTCCCCGGAGAAGTAGATTTTACCATTGTTCTGCTTATTTCTCTTTGATCTCATTCTAAAAATTTCCTTGGAGTGTAACCACTATGCATGTAAAACTAGCAAGATCTGGGAAACAGATTTTTGTAAAGAATCTGTTTCTTTAGATATTTCCACACTGAAGACCAAATGTGGTTTTTTTTTCTTTCTTTTTTTTTTTTTTTTCCTACACAAAAAAGTTGCATCTGCTGCCATGGCAACCAAAAAGAGCTGAAGACAGCCTCTAGAGCTCTTAACTCTGGCAGGATAAGTTGAATTACTTGCAACACAGTCCCTTCTGCCATTAACTCTGTCTCCAAGAGATGGAGTTTGGAGAGGGTTTCTTGGTCCAAACTCCCAGAATGAATGATTCTCACCTCAACCATTTGTATCTTGCTTACCAAAGGCCCAGACAAAGCCCCAGTCAGGAAAAGTGGGCTGGGGGAGGGCAAAGACCAACTCCTGATGGTGTCACTTCTCTGGCTGTGTGATGTGACACACGTTAATTAACATTTTTGAGCCACAGGTTTTTGGATGTAAAACTAGTCTAATAACTGCATTCACGTGGAGCTACTGTGAACATTAATGAAATAACACATATGCAGCTCCCAGCCCATAGTAGGTACAGTATAGCAGTGTGTGGTATAGAGGTTAGGAATATAGACTATTGGAACCATGTCCTGGTCCTACTACATCTTATTAGTTATATAGCTAGTTACCTGGGCAGGCTACTTAACCTCTCTTAGGCTTCAGTTTCCTCATATACAACATAGTGATGATGATGACAATGATGACAACAGTACCTCCATTATGGAGTTGTTGTACTGGGTGAAATATTACATAAGGTAATATATGCAAAGCATGTACAGAAGTGCCTGGCCCACAGCGACAAATGGTAAGTATAACTGAGGTTGTTGTTATTATCACCCCTTTCCCTTTTGTGTATACTATTAAAAATAAAAATCCTTTCCATAGATTCTCTGCTCTGTGCAAAAAAGAGTTAACATGGAAAGCCTGAGACTGCTATTCTTAAAAAGGCCCACTTATGAGGGGGGTCCTTTTCTGACATCTGGAAACTTAGATTTTTGGGAAGTTTCCCACCATTTTCTCATAAGAATGGCTCACTGTGCCTGAACTGTTTGTACAAATAATATCATTTATGCTAAACACCTGCTTTTCTTCTGGGAGTCTGAAATTGTGGTCTGTGTCAGCAGAGGTTGCCTATACGACTAGCCCTCAGTATAATACCTGGACACTGGGTCTCTAATGAGCTTCCCTGGTAGATAGCATTTCACACCTGTTGGCACAATCTGTTGCTCGAAGAATTAGGCACTTCCTGTGTGACTCCACTGAGAGAGGACTCGTGGAAGCTTGCACCTAATTTCCTCCAGACTCTGCCCCATGTTCCTTTACCCTAGCTGACATTGCTTTGTGTCCTTGTGCTGTAATAAGTCATAGTCATGAGCATGACTACGCTGAGTCTTGTGAACCCTCCTAGTGAATCATCAATCCTGGAGTTGTCTCGGGGAACCCCCAACACACACTATAGATTGCAAAGCATTTTCACATGTTACCTTATTTGTGACTCAATCAATTGCTGCGAATAAGGTATGATAGACATAGCGCCATCATTGTTTTACAGATGAGGGACATAGCTAGTGAGGCCCTCTGATTAACCCCAGGATATATGGCTCAGTGGCAGTAACAAAGGACTAGGATTGAGTCTCAAGACCCAAGTTCTAGTTCCATGTTCTTCACCTTGCTCCCCTCCTATGCAACCTGGGAGTGATGGTGGTGGTGATGAGGGGTTAAAGATGACGCCACAATGGCTCCTACTACTTCTGCTTTCATTAGGTGGCCTGGCACCTTGCAGTCATTGTCTTATTTGACATCATAACAACCCTGAAAGTAAAAACTAATATCCCCATTTTATAGATGGGAGAAGGAGGCTCAGGAAGTTACGTAGCCTGCCCCAGGTCACCCAAATACACGTGGTAGAGACTGAATATGAAATGAGGTCTGTCTGACCCCAAAATTCACTTTCTTGGCCATTTCATTATATGAGTCGATTTCCCAGGCTGCTGCCTCTGGCCATGTGGCCATGCTCACAATCTAGCAGTACCAAAGACTTTTAATCTTCCCTTCAGGGAAGATCAACTCTTCTTCCCTTAGTCCTGGAAGCTCCCTTACTGCTTAGTCCCTACCCCAGTATTTCTTATCCCCCAAAGTCCTTGAATTGCTAGCTTGCCTCCAGGTTCCTTCTTGATGTAAAGTGAAAGCAGAGAAGCCATCAGGAAGGCTGGAGAATGGAAGTCAAGAAGGTAGGCTCTCATCATCGAATTGGTATTAATTGATCAACACATAAGTGTACATATAAGAATAACATCTATTGGATGTTGGGCAGGGGGGAGGGGGAGGGGGGAGGAGGGGACGGGTATTTGCATATACAAAGAGTGCAATGTGCACCACCCGAAGGATGGACATATTTGAAACTCGGACTTAGCGGGGGAGGGAGGGGGCAAGGGCAACATACGTAACCTAAACATCTGTACCCCCATAATATGCTGAAATAAAAAAAAAAAAAAAAGAAGGTAGGCTCTAGGACTAGATTGCCCAGGTTTGCAACTTTTTAACTGTGCCATCTTGATGAAGTTACTTAACTTCTCTGGTCCTCAAATTTTCTTAACTATAAAATTGGCATAATAATAGCACTACCTACCTCAAAGTGTTATGGTAAGGATTAAATGAAATAATAATATGTGTAAAGTATTGCAGCACTAGCCTGGCACTAAGTGAGGGCTCAATAAATGTTAGATATTATTATTATTACAATTGTTATTCTGAAAAATGTACTAGTTTCTGAATCAGGGGATCTGTGTCCCAATTGTGCCACTTAGTAGCTATTTTTTGGATGGTATATAAAGACACCTAAAATACCTTTGTATCCTCGGGACCCAGTATGGTGCTGGACACAAAGTAGATCCTCAATACAGATCTATGGAGATGTTTCAGATGGCTTTTAAAAACTCTTCTTCTTTGAAGTCTCAGTATCCCTATTTGTAAGGAGGTGGGTAGAGGCTGTTCCTGGAGGTCCCTGCCAGGCTAGACATCCAGTCTATTATGTTCCATTCTATTCCCAAAAGTCCCTGAGGGGAACTGCCCTACTCCTGCCTTTGGCAATAGGTGTCCTTGTCAAGGAGCTCAGCAACATGCTCTTTCCATGCGCTCAATTTATCTTGGACAATCTGCCCCTCTAGGATTAAATGATTCAGACTTGTCAGGTCCCTAAAACCAAGCAGCTGACACATGTCAGCAGCTTCTGGCTCCTTTGGATATTAATGGATCCTCATGTCTGAGAAAAATGCTACAGTGGCCCATCACCTAATTTAACAAGCCATAAGCTGTTTTTAATTTGCTTTGTGTGCTAATTCATCATAGCAACTTTTATAAAATGCCATTAAGACTCACACTTTCCACCCAGGGTGCCTTTTAACAAGTCCATCAGACAAGTGGAATTTGATGCAAATAATGTAATGACTCTCCCATTCCTCCTGCCCCTCCTGAATTTCAATGTGTGATGGCCCCTTGCCAACTGGGGAAGTCTAGTAAGGGAAGAGGGAAGCCGCTGCTTATATTCTCTGCTGTGCAACATGGTTGTGAGATGCCTGGGCACCTTACTAAAATAGTGCTTATTAGGTATTCCACAATGCACTAAGCCTTTTTATATTCATTGTCTCACTCAATTTACTGGGTGGCAAGATAGCATATGGGTTATACGCTAGGTTTCCAAGATAGAAAAGATCTGAGTTTAAGTCCCAATTTTTCCATTACTAGCTATAAATTTGGGGCATGTTCCTTAACCTTTTAGATGACCACTTTACCATAGATGATCATTCTTTCATTTAGGAAATGCAGATAACAGTGGCATTAACTCAAAAGACTGTTGAGGAGATACAACAATAGAATGTTGCATGTAATGTGTCCAACACAGGATGAATTCCACTTTGTTAT